GCTTTTGTCTGTGCAGATGCAGGGCTGCAGAGGGGAAAACGCGCCCGATGTGCGTTCCGAAACCGCATCCCGTGCCTCTCCGCTCGGCTTGCAGAAAGCTGGTCCGTGCCTGGCGCTGCAGCCGGGTGCCGAGGGCAGACACGGCCGGCCAAGCACAAACTAGAGTAGGGGAGTGTGTTTCTGGACACGTGGAATGGGCCCGGGGTTGCCGATCTTTGTCAATTAAAAAGCAGCAGAGAGGAATGGAGATCACCGAGCAAATGCATGCCAATAAAAATAGCACTGCCCCAGATGACAGGCATCCACGTTTACAGCCGTTCCTACCGTAGAGCTGACCCCAGGGCTCTGCGCCCATGTTTTGCTGTGATAACTGTGTGGTCCTGCTGCTCGGGGCGGGAGGTTTGTCAGCTCCGACATTGCTGGGTGCACTGCAGCCCTAAAGCCCCGGGACACCGCGCGGAGGGGACGGGCAGCTGGTCGATTCACCGGTCAGAAAGCAAAATTCAGAGAGCAGCTACGAAAGCGGTGAAAAGCGCCATTCAGCAGAAAGCCTCCACTAGAAATCTCCATAAAACGGGACTTCGTTACTCTGAGTTGGCCCTAGCTTGGGGAAACAGGATGCTTTGTAACCCCGAGCCTCAATTAGTGAAGGGGTTTGCAGCTCTTCTGGAAGAGGTTTGTGATTATACGGCACCGTTTCTGAACGTACATCAAGTGTTCCAGCGCGCGGACTGGGCTTCTCAAAGGAGGGAATGAAGGTTTTGCCAAAGATTGAAGCCTCACTTTTTCCAGCTGAGTCATAGCGACAGATATATCCCCCCAAAAGTGACTGAAAAGACAGTGGCAATGGGCGAAATAAAACAAGCCTGAGAACTTAAATCCCAGATGTTGCCTATATCTTCAAAAGTTTGAGCAGTTGCGGTTCTTAGGTTTTTCAGCAAAGTCTTGAATGCTACAAAGCTCCTCTGTTGCTGTTTTTCTTAGTTGAGCTCCTTAAACTTGTCATTTCGTAACTCATTTTTTTTAAACAGTGCTTTCAATACTATGTTTTTTTCAGCAGCTTTTTTAGATGCTATGTGTTATTTCAGAATTGGTTTTAAATATATTCTGACAGGCCAGGGTGATGGAGACCACTGCCCACACACATAACATAGTTATGTGGCTGTGACTTGTATTTTTAAACAAATTATACTGTAGGTGAAGCTTATAGGAAAGAAACACGGTGCAAGACCTTGAGTCTTACTCTAAACAGGCGCACTGTGAAACTTGGGAGAGTTCTGTCTAAAACTAGCAGGGCTCTTAATTCTCAATTAGAATATTTATATATTATATATATATATATATATAATACATGGCATACGAGCATCTGCCAGCCTCTTAGTATACCAGGAAATAGTTCACTAGTTCCTCTTGTTGATTTATTCTAAAATCTGGATAGTTTATTACAAAATCTGCTCATCTGAGCTGTGCTGCTCACTTTGTCCTGTCCTAAATGACAAGGTTTTGCTTCCGCCCCTGCGTGGGGACACTGTGCCAGGATACACAGTGGGATTTGAAAGCCCTTCCCATATCTAATAGGACACGCCGGTTTTGAGGCTCTTGAAAGGGAGGAGGGATGATGACAAATGGAAAAACTGAGCAGGATGGAAGCTGATTAGTCAGGATGGGGAGAAGTGTTGGTGCTTGCTTAGTGAAGAGGCACACAGGTGACCTCCGGAGATGTCCCTTGGCCTGCGGGAAGCGGCAGGGAGGAAACTCCAGCAGAGCCTTCGGAGATCAGAGGGAATTCCAGCTCGTTGACAGCAGGGAGAGCAGCAGGAGCACCACAGGCTCCGCAGCTGCGGGGTTTGAAGCAGGTTAAGTGGCTCCAGTAGCTGTGGAGGAGCGAGGAGGCAGCGCTGGAGGGATGAATAGGAGCTGTCTGGTAAACACGAGCAGCTGCCAAGTCAGATGACTGAGCAGGAGGACTAGAGCGGTCCAAGGAAAGCAGGACACCAAGTTAGCTGGAGACGTGAGTCAGGCCCGAGGAGAACAAGAGCGACAGGTTGAGGGAAAGCAGGATGCACTTGTGAAACATGAAGCCAGTGGGAGTACTGTTGGTGACAGCTAATTATTCTGGGGCATGGTAATCTCTTGCTTGGATCATGGGGCGGGAACAGAGAAAACAAGGACGGAATTTCTTACTTGCAAATTTCCCCTTCAGACTGTTGCTTTAGAATCGAGGCAGGTTGAATACTAGGACCTCAAGAAGAGTCATCTGATTCTGGACACTAAGGAAAGAATATTTTTTCTGTTTAGCAAAGAACTGATAGTAGAAACTTTGCTATCACTGTAGGAGGCCTAAGTAAAGTTAGGAACGATAGCTCTGAAAGAGAACTCGGTCTTGTTGCCAGCTGTATAGAGGACTTGCCAAGGATGAGCTAGGAGAAGTATGAATATTGTAGTGGAAAGTCCCTCAGGAAGACAGAGCAGTGAAAGTCTTGAATCCTAGACATGTCTAATACCTGTTATCAGGTGGAGTGCACAGTAGTTTCACAACCTCCAACTGGTTAATAAGGTGCATGTCATAATAAAAAGGGGCCACGTGCCTAGCAGTTGGGAGAAGTTTAAGAGATTTACAGATTGAAGGAATATCATAGTTAAAATGATCAGTGTTAAATGTTTCTTTGTTCTACAGAGTGGTTGTATTGATTGCTACAAGCAACCGGCTGTTCCAGCAAATGTCAATATTTACAAACAGATAACTTGTTCTGAGATCAATTCAATATTTGTAGGAAGTATGTAGCTAATGCTGACATGCTTAGAAGCAGGTCAGTGTTATAGCATTATCTCTTAAGTCTTTGTGGTGACGAGGAGGCCGGACTGTCCTGTTAAAGGCAGCTATGTCACGAGTTATAATTACACTCCCGAACTGCAGCCTGCTACGGGGTTTGGAGGCTGCACATGCCCTTGTTACAGCTATGACACAGTCCTAAAGGATTCTCAAGCTCTCTTCTAGCCTTGGACTCCTTTGACAAATAGAAAAGCAGCCTGAGAAGAACCGTCTTGTTTCTTTATCCTAGAGACAGAAACCCTGATGCAGTTGTCTCCAGGCACTGAAAACTAGCTTCCAAAACCAGTGACCTAAAGACTGCAGCGTGTCCTGCAATGCAAGTCAGCTGAAATGGCCTCGGAAGAGGTTCCAGGAAAAATATTGATATTTATGTAACGATTTGTACTGCACGGTGTTTGGGGCAGGCGGGACAAAAAGGCTATATGAACCTTGGAGGGAACATTTTAGGAGGATTAAGGAAAAGGCTTCAGAACACTTATTCAAGATAGTTTTTGTTGTATTTAAAACATCCTGATTTTGCCTAAGCAGGATAGGTAGTAAAGGGCTGAAAGTTAACATAATTACCTAACTCTTGCGACCTTTGTTGCTAACTCACCTCTTTGAATACTTCCCTTGGAGGGAAAAAAGTTACCAAATAGACACAAGTTACTTTTACTCCAGAAAACTCAAAGTGATTTGCAAAGGCTAGCAGGCATCTATTGCTATGAAGTAAGTAATCACCATTCCCATTTACAAATGGGAAAACTGGGATGGGACTAGGCTTGACCTTAAAGGTATGAGTGAGCTGCATAAAACAGGATTAACTTGAGAGCTGTGTTCTTTGACTTGACTGGAGGCATGGTGTACATAAAACAGCCTCTTGCCTAGTCTTTGGCTGCCTGTCTGCAGCTTAGTTTTACTAATTGAACCCGAGCTGTCCTCTCTGCTGAAGAGTGTTCTCTTGCAGGAGAGCCGTGGTGCTTTCTCCAAATACTCTTAATCTGTTTGCCCTGGTAGAGATTTTGGCCTCCATTCTTTGAAAATGTATAAAAGGCAATAAAATCTATCCTGCTTCTAAGAACACGGAGAATGGAAACAGGCTTCTTGCTTCCAACAGACTTGGTACCTAGGAGCTTAAAGCTTTAGGACACGTGCCTGACCTCCGTGCTTTTTGGAAGGGAGCTGCATGTGGTTTTGTCTTGGCTTCTCTGTGCAATCCCTCATTCCCTCTCCCTTAGCCAGGAAATCCCATCCCCGGCCAGCAGGCGCCGAAGGAATGTGCTGTTTGTTTACATTCTCACTTCTTCATCCTACTAACCCTCCCGTCCCCCACTCCTAATCCTGACAGCTTCGGCTCAGCCCTTCATCCTTCTGACAGCGTGCTACTCACTGGAGCGTTTTGTGATAAAAGGACTGCAGGAAAAACACCCCGTTCTGGCCAGGACCTGCTTGCTCGAGGTGAGGCCATGGCATTTGGCAAGACTCTTGGGTCTGTTCTCATGGCCCTGCTTCTGGGCCTTGGCTGTCTGATGCTTCCTGCAATACCAGTGCCTATCACCACAGTGTGCTACAGAATTCCAGGGAAGAATTCCCTTTCCAAGCATTGCTCTGGGTGATTTTTGCCTTTTTGGGGCAGTAAGCTAGGAACCTGGATGTTAAAGTCCCTTCTTCCGCCCCCTTTCAACAGCTCTGGCTCTGTAAAAGCAAGGTTTGTGGTGTTACTGTTTTTAATCCCTCGGAAATTCTTAGATGAAAGTATTTCAGCTGCTTTGAGCCCCACAGACACTTAGGTCGCTAAATGCATTTTCTGGACCTGCAGTCAGCTGCTTTGCCTGATGAAAGAGGCCCTTAAAAGACACCATTTCTAGAGTTTTCTAATAATCCATGTGAGGAAATCCTGTGTTTACAGTACTTACAAAAATTGCCATTTTCAGACAGCCCCCCCGCCCCATTCACATACTTTGTCTTATCTGACTTTAGCCGATTGGCAAGGATTATAGATCCCTTAAGTAGGGCCTGTCCTTCCCTTTGTTTTGTAGCCAGGCACCATCAGTGCTCTCCTGGCTGGTTATTTGTAGCTTGAGCTGTGGTCCCAGAGGGATTTTTGTTCCAGCTTGCGCTGTGAACTTCATAGTGGGGCAGCGTGTGGGGAGGAAGCAGTCCCTAGGCTTAATTAAGACTGTGGCTAAGTATCAATCCTCAATTCGTCCAACCCTTCTTGCCTTCCGTTTCTTCCTTTGCAGCACTGACAAGTTCACCTCTACCAGTTCTAATTATATTGTTGCTGCAACTTGCTTTCCTTTAGCATAGTGTATAACAGAAAGGGGAAACAACAGAAAGGAAAGCGTCCGACAACTTTTAGCCCAAGTAGAAAGCTGAGAAAGAGCTCCTGAGGGTGCTCCTGCACACGAGCAGTGGTCATGTCTCTGGCTGAAGTGCTTCAGGAAGCAGGTAAACGTCCACCAGCTGAGGCAGGAGCTGCGGTACGGGGAGTTTAAGCATCAACGCGGCATTCTTGGGGATCGGCGAGGCTGCTGTGAATCTTTTTGCTGTGTTTCTCCAACAGTCTGACGTTGTACCCCTCTTTACAGGACAGCCTGCAAGGGCGACGGCTGGAGACTGTTTGTGAGCACATCGGAGCGCGGCTGCCGCGGGGCCCCTGGAGCCAGACACCATGTACTGCCTGCAGTGGCTGCTGCCCGTCCTCCTCATACCCAAGCCCCTCAACCCGGCCTTGTGGTTCAGTCACTCGATGTTTATGGGCTTCTACCTGCTCAGTTTCCTCCTGGAGCGGAAGCCTTGCACGATTTGTGCCTTGGTCTTCCTGGCAGCCTTATTCCTCATCTGCTACAGCTGCTGGGGGAACTGCTTCTTGTATCACTGCACAGGATCCCAGCTGCCAGAATCAGCTCACGATCCCAGCATAGTAGGCACCTAAAGCCCAACAATCTCCCAGTGTGCTGACAGCTCTGGTTTTGCTTTTAAAAAGGGGGGCTAGGGAGGAGGGAGGGGTGTTAGGCCTGTTCCCTGTAAGGCGTGTGTGGACTAGAAAGGTAAATTCCTGACCAGCCCTCCACTCTGCCTGTGAATTTTGACTTGTTTACTGTGTGAACTCTGGCAGTGCCACCTGCTTTTTTTCTAAAAAAAAAAAAAAAAAAAGGAAACAAATCTCTTTTCCTTCCCATATCACTGGGAATGGACACCAGCCCTCCCAACTGAGAACCAGTGGAGGAAAGAGCTGTTGCCTCTGCCCAACTGTTGCATGGTGGAGTTGTTTGTCACTCACTTGTCTGCATTAGGCCGTGGTGGTCTAACTTCGGGCTCTCAGCCCGCTGATTCTGCTCAAGAAAACAAGATTCTCACCATCTTTCTGCACGTGGGGAGCCAACCTTCCCGCCTTGCTGATCAAGGGAAAGTTCAACAGCTGACATGCACTTGGCCAAAAGCTGCTTGGAGCCAGAGGCAGTTGAGTTGTCATCTCCTGCTCGTCCTGCCAAAGAGGTGTGCGCAGTGCACAAGTGCTTTCTGAACTACTCATGCTCCGAGATCACAGCCTGAAAACCTCAGTCATGTTGCTGCTTTTACAAAGACTCACACAGTGGAGATGTCCTCTTCCCCTTCTAGATTCCTAGGCTTTATTGACTGTCAGGATAAAGAATGGTTGTGGTGCAAGATGTGGGGTTTCCAAAGCCACTCTATAAACCTCACCCTGAAAAATTCATGCTAGCTCCAAAGGCCAGAGAGGATCCCAAGATGGAGCATGGCTTGAAGTGAGAAATAACTTGGGCCATTTTTAGTGACAAGTGTTTGCAGGCCACAGGCAACACAAGTTGCTGGTGCTACCGAGTGGAAAAGGGAAGGGGCTAGAGAAGCGCCCAGTGTCTCCTGCCTCCCCTGGCAGGAGGAGCTCAGGAAAGCCGGGTGCTGGGGAGCAGATCCGAGGCGCTGTGCAGACCCTCAGCACACGTCACCTCGGCGAGCTGCAGGGATGCCTGTTGTCCTGAGGGAGCTCGAGCTATGAGATGGTGAAACTTCAGAGTATTGTTTGTTCATTGCACAGCTGTTCGAGATGTTTAATAAAGCTTTATAAACTTTGCTCCGTGGCCTCCTGCCCAGTGTGACACATTTGCTGCCTGTCCTGGATGCCTCAGCCCGGCAGTCGTGTGTTCTCCGCATTGTTCTCTTCCCAGCAGAGCCTGTTTGCTCTGCAGCTGCCCTTCTGACTTCTCACCATCTGCCTACCCAAGTGCTGGGCAGCCTGTGAGGGCTCTTAATACTCCTAAAGCAAACAGGAGAGACTTGCAGTTGTACCGCTTGTCTGACAGATTCCTCTTTTCCTGACGGCTCCAGGGCCAGGGTCTGACATCCTGCTGATCCCTCAGGACCGCAGGGAGAGCAGGGCCTGCTGCCCGTGCGGAGCCACCCCGCGCGGCTCCGTCTTCCAGCGCTGCCGTGGCTGGGAGCTGGGCTGCAGCTCGGCTCCGGGGAGTCCTTCGGAGCGCCGGGGCCGCTCCGTTGTGGCGGCCCTCACCCAGCTACAGGATACGACCATCTGGGGTGGAGACAGGGGGAACTACATGATGTGGCCAGAGAGCTGTTGTGTCTACCTGCCTGAGGGGCAATTTGTAGGACTAAATGCGTATGGGAGGAGGCAGCTGCTGAGCCAGGAGTTGTTCCAAACAGGCCTCAGCCACAGGGAGCTCTCCAAGGCAAGTTTGGATATTTCATTAATGTTTATGAACATGCATGTTTTTGGTAGTACTTTTGCCAGTCTGAAGCAAATCCAGGAGACTGCTCCTTGGTCTCCTCTCCTTTGAGGTAGAAACACAACTGGCACAAAGGAGTTACCAGCACTCGCAGGAAGGCTACGGACAAGGCAGAGCTGCTTCCCCCGGGCTGGCGGGGTCCAAATGTATCCAGACCAGGATCCTCCTCGTGAGCATAGGACGTCGCTGCTTCACGGACACGACGGCTCCGGGAGCGCCGCGCCGGGCGGCTTCCTGCTCCGAGTGCCACGAGGAGCATCCGTGACCTGCCCGAGCTGAACCCAGCTGCCTCCGGCCCTCTCTAACCCTGAGTCATCAAGACAGGTCAGTGTTAGCAAAATTTTAAAAATCGTCTCGAAGAGACAGACAGCCCTGTCACCTGCCAAGCCGAAGCAAGGCCTAAGAGTTATCATGATATTAGCTACATTATAAGGGAAAAATAAATAAAGGAAACAGGTTTACTGTGACTGGAAAAAGGCCTCTCGTTTGCAAGTTATGACAAGATTGTTGCTGCCCTGTGAGCAACGTAAGTAATTTGAGCTCATGCAGTCAGTTCTTTTAAGAGTACGTTTTTATTGCTAACTAGCCTTGTTCCACTGTACTGCAATTTAAATACACCTTAGTCCCAAAGCCCAGGCAGCCCTTCGGGATGAGAGCAAGCCCTTGCTTTGTGCATCCTCTTCAACACATCCATTCTGCTAGACACAACTGTGGCCTTTCTGTTGCGAGAGGGACTCGGAGGAAAACGCTCCAAGGAGCGGAGCTGCCAGGGCCGCGGCAGAAGAGATCTCAGCAAGCTGACGGTGAGGACGTGTTTACAGCAATCCCGTCTCCAACACGGGCAAAGAGCCCTCTGATGCACACATGGCTCTACCAGAATACCTGCTTTAGGTGTCAGCACACTGAGATACTATCTCAACTTCCAAGACAGAAAATTAAAGCGACTTCTTCATGGTCTGACAGGAAACACCAGGCACAGAGGGGAATCCAGGCAGGACTGGCGTCCCTCACTAACGCCTTCCTCACTGGACTGTCCTTCCTTAAGAGACCAGGAAGAACTAGCCTAGAGCTGCCAAACAGGTCGGACCCGATGGCTCTGGGAGAGCATTGGGGCCCACACAAACCTCGTCCCTGGGCCCGAGTAACCACTCACCAGCTACACAGGTTACCTGAGCAGAGGTGTTTGCCAGGGTCCCAAAGAGCTGTCCTGCCACAATGACGATTGACACTTGACATAGGATTATTGCAGGAGAGAGAAGCCAGATAGCGCAGGTGGATAAACCGCTCCAGGGCCCCTGCGTGTCTTTCCAGGGCTGTCTCTGTATCGCGGGGATCACAGGGCTTTGCAGCACTCCAGGTGGTGAATTACAATAGTGATGATTAAAGCACTGGGGTTTAAAGCGCAACTGCTTGTACCATGCCAGGCCCTGCTGCCTTGCCCAGAAGGGATTTGGCACGGACTAGGTCTCACAACCTTGTGCTATTGCAAAGCATCCATCTGCCTTGTTCCCCACTTGCGGGGACCAGGAGCTTTAAGCTGTTTCTTTGCCTTTCCATTTGAAGGGGAAATCATTTTCTTTTCTAGGCCACCCAACAGACCAGAGACAGTAAAGGAGAAAAACCAAGCTCAGATCCCTAGGAAGAGGGGCACAACTAAGCTCAAGCAGGTCCAGGGCTTCTCACTGCAGCCTCAGGGTGCAGGGGCTCCCCTCACTCCTGCCTCTGCTCTGGAGGGGCCCGTGGTTCTGCGCTGCCCGTGACCAGGGGCGCTCGGGCGCCGCAAGGCTTCCTGCACAGGAGGGCTGGCCGTTCCTGTGGGCTGCTTCGGCTTTCTGAACCCCACATCTGCCAGGGCTCGGGCCTCGCGCCCCTCGTCACAGCGATGCTTCAGTCGAGTCCTCGCTCTGGCTCGCTCTTGGTTGGGCAGCAGTCCCAGCTCAGCCCATGTCCAGCTCTGCGGGAGCTGGACCCACCGGTGCTCCTCTCCTTCTCTCTCCCAGCTGACGCTTCTTGGCTAACCCGATTTGCTTCTTGGGCTTTGAAAACTAGGGAGAACAGAGAGAGGAGCGAACAGAGCCGTCCTGGAGCCAGCTGGAGCGGAGGGAGCTCCAGAGCCCTCCAAGCTCCCTTCCTTCCTCCCTCCTGACCTTCCCCCGCACGCAGGAAGGTGGTGCTGCCTCCCCTTACAAGAGGTTGGCTCTGCTTCTCCCCGGGTGCTCCTCTCCCCACCGAATTATTGCAGGGCAATTAGTCCCCGCTGCTCCGCCTGCTCGCAGCGCTACCAGCCTGCAGCTGGTGACTTATCAGCACGGGAGCAGCCGAAGGAGAGAGGCTGATCCACGCCAGGAATACCCTGAGCTGGAAGCAGCCAGCCTGGAGGGAGGCAGCTAAGCGCAGGGGTGTCCCAGGACCTCCCAGCGCATCCCGTCGCGCTCAGCTGGTCCAGGCAAACCCCTCTGCTCCAGGGAAGTGGTGAGCCGTGTTTTGGGCCGCAGATAGCCCTGCCCTCGCCTGCTGGAGCACATTGAACTCACAGTCTCCTGCGTCTTGCTCAGAAAAGAAAGGATTTTCCTTGCTGTTAGAGACTGACAGGAGCTAAGGAGCACAGCAGGCAAGGCCTTGAGCTCCCCTCCCTGGAGGCCAGGCCTGGCCCTGGGGAGCGTTTTGCTACATCCCTGGGCAAACACAACCCCCCAGCAGGGCGGCAAGGAAGGACAAACAGCCCAAGCGTGGCCAGACCTCAGGGCACCGCGGCCTTTCGCCCGGCCCTGCTGACGGGCAGCTCCTCTGTGCGGGCTGGAAGATCCCGAGGGCAGAGCCAGGCTTCACCCTGGAGGCTGCGCACACCGGGAGGATCCGCTCTGCCCCCAGCTGCCGACAGCAGAGCCCAGAGCGGGGCATGACCCTGCCATGAACCAGCCTGTTGGCTGCCACCTCCACGGCCACAGAAACACCATTCTCTGTACGTGGGGGCTGAGAGACACCGCGGAGCCCCAGCACAACCCAGGACTCG